TATCGGTAAGTAATCACGCTAGTGGAGTCCGTGGGACTCCAGCGAGATATCAATGTTATAGTTTTAGTCTATGTACGATATTTTTAACTGTGATTTTTTTTTACTTTCAGTTGATATAATGGCGTCTCGTAGTTGTATAAACGTCCTTGATGAAGATGCTTGACTTCATATATAGACGACTTCATATATTTGCCATAGTTGTACTAAGCCTGTGTGCCTCAGCTGTACAAAAAAGTATGCAATAACTGTGTCATCAACAGTGACTAAGGTCTTGCACGTTTTTTCTTTCTTGTTCAAACCATGTTCTTTTTTACTTTTTATAAGAATTGTTTATATTTTTGTTATATTTCTTTGAAGATTACTGTATAATATTGATTTGTTTTTGAAATGTTGTCAAAATCAATATTAGAAGATAGGTCTCATAATTTTGTTACAAAAAGTGCGATTATCTAAAATTTCCTTAATAAAAGACTGTAATTGAATGATTTTAAGTAAAAAGTTAAGAAAACTAGTTTTATTTAAAAAGTTAAGATAATGTAAAACCAAATACATAAAAAGCAAATTTAACTAGGATTTCATTTAAAAAAATTGTTTATTTCCTATTATATTTACGATTTAAAACCCGGGAGTCCTGGGGACTCCACCGCGTAAAATGTGTATATATGAAGTCACCGGGTAAACCAAGGGTTAAAAGAGGTATATTTTATATTTTCAATAAAGAAACCGTTAAACCAATAAACAAAACGAACAAAAACTAAACGATAATGTGACCTCAACGACATTAAAAAAGGACACTTTTTTTGCGATCCAGTCAAACAATATATCCCAAAATAAATAATTATTAGTATTATATCTCTCGCACAGTGTTTATAATAAATTTATACAAAGGAACATAACGAGGCTGATAGCATTACTGAGAAGAGAATGAATATTGCACGACACAAATTAATTTGAACCGTAAACGGTGATGAGCTCATTCATTAGCACAAGGCGCTGAATGCTAAAGGATGGACAGAAGAATAAAATGTTTGCTATTGTCTGCTCATCGTTAGAGTTACACATGTTGCTACTAACAATTTTTAACCGAGAAAGATGAAAGTTGAGACGAAAGTGACCAAAACGAAGGCAATTAATGTATGAGTAAAACTTTCTGTAAATATAAGTGGAGCTACAACAGAGCCATGGGGAAACCGTACCATAATTCTTTATTTTCAACATTCTAAGCTTTAAAAGTGGAATATAATCCCTATATGGCAACAACACACTTGACTCTATTTCTTCTACTGAGTTAGAAATATTACAAATTAATTTAACCAAAAAGTCTGCATTTTCATTTCCATGAACTCCTATATGGGATGGTACTCAGATGAAAACTATATTGATTTTATATTTGCTGACAATTTCAAACCAGAGCTCTTCGATGTTATTTATAATGTAGTTTGTAGAAGCTTTAAAAGTGGCAATTTTCCATCGTCAATAGGTTGCGGTTCTGGCGACAGATTGGTGCAATGGTATTATGTAGCACCTGGTTTTGTATCCTTGTGTACCCCTCAACAGCCAAGTCACAAAACATTAACTATAATAAGAAAGAAATCGCAGTAAGGAACCATAGACTTGGCACGACTTTTTATAGATTTCATTACTTTTTAGATATAACCTATAAACCTAAACTAACATCAATATTTCTCCTAAGCATTACTTTAGCACCCTCTTTAATGATTATAGTTTCTTCCAGTCCAGCAGTCATCGACGCATCATCTTCATATTTTTGTAAACACGCTCGGGCTTTCGTTATCATACATTTTGAACAATCCAAAGAATCTTTAACAACTAACTTTATCTCGAGGTGCGGAATCGCTTTTAACATAGCATTATTTAACTGCATACACATATTTCTAGTCGGTAGTAAACGAACAGTATCTTCTGGTAAGTCCCTTAAACATTGTGCTATTTCCATTAACCTTCCTTCATTGGTATCAATCGGGTAGACAATATATCTCTGTCTGATTGAATTGTCACTCCTATTCTGATTCTTTTTAATATTTCTACAAACGTAGAATCGTCCAGCTGTCTCATATTCAACGGAAGTTCATCGTAACTAAAAAGTTCAGCCCATATGTTTGGAATACTTAAGGAGCCTATAAGTTTATTAATTTCTGAAGGGGTTAGTTTTTCAAATGGCGACTTTTCTCTAACGGGTGGATCTGCAAAAGATCCCCAAGCACTAAAATATGTTTTTTTCCAAACCAACCATCTTCTACATCAGAAGCATCAACACTTCGCATAAACGAAGATTTATGTAAGCTAAAGTTACATTAGATATCATAGACACTTCATCTATAATAAATAACGTGACAGTTTTTAAGTCTGTCCTCAAAAACTCGAAGTACTTAGTCTGAAAGCGGTTTGTATTTAGGAGTTTGTTTATGCTCTTCGGGCAGTTGTAGTACACTGTGAACAGTTAATCCATTTACGTTAAATGTTGCAATTCCAGCCGGGGCAGTAATAGCTACATTTTTATGCAGGTTGTTTTTAATCCATATTTTTAAGGTTTTTATTAAATAGCTCTTGCCGGTGCCACTAACAAAATGTCGCAATATTTCTTTTTGGTTCGAATTTTTATTAGTGATTGTATCAAATACTTTTTTTTGGTCAGACCAAGTTCTTCGACATTTTTTACGATATTATCTTGCGAAATCGAACACAAATAAACTCAACGACCTTTAGTACATGGACGACAAATCAGAAATACAAATAATAAGCGAAATCAACGAAATGCAAATAATCCCTCCTAATCCCTAGCAAACGTTATCAAGGGCAACAGAAGAATGTCGTAAACGACTGTAACGGCCGTAGTAATATTGAGTTTCCACCACAGCAGATCCTCATGTAAACTACTTGGAATTATCATGAACCTGTCGTAACTATTCCCATTTCGTAACAAAGCCATGTATTTTGCTCTTTCTAGAGACTTGGTATACAACCATGAGTATGGAATTGCCGGGCAGGCTGAGATAAGGGTGCCTAAATATTTAGCAAATTCGCGTATACGTATATTTTTTCGGTTTACCAAATGGTCGATCATTACGTCTAACATATGGGTAATTTTGTGTCTTTTTTTATTCGGTAGCTCAAAGGTCATTGAGCCAGAGTTAAAATTATAACCTAAAAAAATACATGATTTGTTAGGTAGTAAGACACTCTTGTCGTAATTTATAACAAAGCCTAAATCTGTTAGGGACTTAACAGTTTCATTTATATTTTTCAAACAATCCTCGTATGAATTTCGCAGACATAAAAAGTCGTCCAAGTACCTAACTGATATAAAACCTTTCGATCGTAAATGTGAAACTATGGGTTGAATTAACTTTGTAACTATATGTGGTGCTGAACAAATGCCATATGGTAAAGCAGTGAATTCGTACAATTCCTTGTAATAAAATCGAAAAAAAATCCTATCTTGTGAATGTACTGGTACTAAGAAATATGCCTCCTTGAGGTAAATTTTTCCCATAAAACAATTAGGGGACATGAGGCGCACTGCGGTCCTAATGTATTCCATCTTAAAATGGTTGCCTTGTACAAATTTATTTAGTCTTTTAAGGTTTAAGATGAATCTCATAGATCCATCGCTTTTGGGAGTTAAAAATATATCTGAAACAAATTGATCTCTAGAAGGCATACATCTTTTTATGGCTTTAATTTCGAGTAAATGTTTTATTTCTATATCAATTACTTTGATATTTGATGAGGTTTGGTTTTGAATGGTATACAATAAGCTTGGATAGTGTCTAAAACAAATTTATCACTTGTAATGGATCTCCATGCATTTAAATAATGACGTAAATGTCCAGCATGACTCACCTGTGAGGTTACGTAGTTCGACGAGGTGGCGGTGGGCGTCGGGCTGCGTACGGGGGTGCGTGCTGCGGGCTGGCGAAGCGGCGCGACGTGCGGGGGTGGCCGCCGAGCTGGTGGCGGAGCCGGGGGCTGGAATACTCGGCGTCGACTCGCGTATTGTGCTTGGTACCCGCTGGCGCGACTTGCTGGTTGTTGGTTGCTCCTCAGCAATCGTGGTCGTGCTGGCGGTCCTTTCCAGTTTAAACCGCTGGTAGAAGGAGCTTGAATAAGTTGACCAGTCTTTTTAATACCCCTTGAGCTCTTTACGAGATCGCCGAGTTTATCGCCAAACAGGAACTCGTCCCTCTTTCGGTCTTTGAATGAGTCAACTAGTGACTTTTCTATCAAGCCAAGTATTAAAGACTTCCTTGTACCAGTCTCTAAATTGTGAGAATCTGACATAAGTTTCAGCGCATCATTCAATACACGTAGAACTTCGGGAATATCCGGGGTTTTCTTTAATAATAGTGACATGGCTCTGGTGAAGGCCACCAAGGCTCGGCTATGTTGCCCTCTGTTTTGAGCTAAGTCTTTTGTCTCTATTGCGAGAAGACTCATTCAGCATAGTGCTAATTTCGGGTTCAATGTAGGCAGGTGCTTTAAGTAAGGGTATATTTTGGGAAAATGGTACTTTTTCGACAGTTCATCCTTGAGATCCTTCTTTAGGCCGTTAGTTATGATGAATTGGACTCTTTTAGCAATGTCACTCTGAACATCTTCACCCCACTCAACTTCGTCAGTTTCAAGGTCACCAACAACCTTTAACATTTCAGTGTCTATATCGAGGTCGACGTCGGCAACGCCGCTTAATATTTCTGCGTCAATATCGGTCTAAGGCACTAAAATCTCCGATAATTCGGGTTCTTAAACCGGATCGATCATATTCCCCCTTTCGGAGCATACAGGGTAGTTTAGTCAGTAGTGAGCTTCCAGTATCGAGGTGATTTGTAAGCGTTAAAAAAAAGGAAGCGTTATGAAACTTATTTAGCGGACGAAATTATAGTATTGTTATTTAAAGAGCGTGAAAAGTATGTAAAATATCTAGTGCCTACCTCCTTTTTCAGGGCCACCTTACACGATTGCTTAACCTTAGCCAGGGATCATTCCGGATTGTCGGAGAGATTTACCTTCTGTAGATCTACTAAAAAGTCCTCTTCGGATATATCCGACCTTAAGAATCTAAGCGCGATCCTCAACAGACGAATTTTGGGATCCGCTGCTTTGAGTAATGGTGGTGCAGCTGCCTTGAGTTTCTGCGCAGCCTCCAAATTAGCGATCCGAACCACGACGCCTGACTTGCCAACCATCCGTACACTTTGGATCCGAATGCTTTCGGATCCTGGCTTAATGGCGTTCTGCAGTGTGTGTTTGGTGTCCTCCGATGACTTCAGGGACTCATCAGCCGGGTAGAAAATGACCGCCGGACCTTGGGGTTGGACAGGGATGGGGGCCTTATCACGTGGGAGTTTCAGCATGTTCGCATACGAGGGAACCAGCGGCAACGAGGGTTGCGGTGCGCTAACACACGCCGACTGTTTTAGGATCTCGATTTCCTTAGCGGCAACCTGTAGCTTAGCAGCATTGGACTGGTGCTCTGCATCTGCAAGGCGCAGCTCTAGGGCAGCGACGGCGGCGAGTATGTCCTGCGAGTGCGAGGCTACGGTACGTTTGTCGGTCATGTTCAGTTTATTGGCCGCGTTGGTAATGGAGTCAATGCCTTTCAGCGCCTTGTGCACCATGTCCAGCAACTGAAATTTATCGAGGGAGGCAAGGCCCCCCTGGACGGAGGGATCGGGAGTCGGATCTGGTGTTCTTGGGGCGGGTGGGTTGTTATCACTGGCGGCCCTAGGTTGGGATGTTAATATACCGCCTATGGGGAGAACAGCCTGGCGACTTCTTTCAACTATGGGGAATGAGAACGCTGGGTGTGGGGCGGAAGACCGGGAGTAATGAAACCACCATCACTAGGAGGGGACCTGGCCAAGGAGTGCCTGGGAGTAAAACCCGTAGCAGTCGACATCTCCTCTAAAATTCTGAGCTCCTCCTCCTTCTGAGCCATCTCTGCTTCCAAATACGCTTTGACCTCAGCGGCCTCATCCTCCTCCATGGTTCAGTGAACAAAAACGTTCACGTCCCTACTTATAAAACACAACAAAAACGGATCCTACCCGTCACCACTGACAGTGACACCGCCAGAGACAGCTGTGAGTGTCAGGAGACAATGACAGCTGCCAGTCCCAGGAGCAACCGTGGTATCACCACCCGCTACGGAATACCTAGTATAATAACACAACAAATATTCCAAAACACAGACTAAATATAAATATTAACTAGACATCCGAAATGGAACGTAATTTCGGGCCAATCAATGGGCGCACACGTCAAGTTCGAGTGACAGCTTGGCTGTCAAACTCGACTGACAGCGTCAAAAAACACGTGGCGTCGAAACCACGTTGCGACAAACTTAACCTACAAACTAACCTAATATAAAACACGTGGTGCCGAAAACACTGAAATACGTTAAAAATTTCAGCAAAAAGTACTATATTTGTTTCTTAGGTTTTCACGCACATCACTCATTAAATAAAACTAGTTTTTACGGGTTAATGCACGAAACTTTATTTATTTATTGACGTTTCAAAAAGTACTGTTCACGACTCACCGGATCGAGATAGGTGTGTCCTGACTAGAGATGTAAAAATACCGTATAATACCAAACGATCTGTATTACCGGTATTTTACAATAACATACGGTATTTTTCGTATTTTATATTATATCACTACAAATACCATTTATTTATCTTTTTACACGTATCATTGGTTATAAAATTCATAGAAACGAATTCGTAGCTTGATTAATGTAATAAAAACTCAAAACAATTCGAACTTGCTATTTTCCTACTTTATTTTTTAAAAGTACTCAGATTAATTTGTATCTTTTCTTTCATTATGATACTTACTTACCTACGTTTAATTTGCGGCCCGAATCGCATGACAGCGTGAGAATGGGAGTCGCTTCGCGACGTTGTCACTTCGTGCATCATCGCGACACGAGCGATACTGTTCTCCCTTTCTCTCTACCTAGAATCATCGCATGCGCCGGCAACACCTACTTTGTATGTTCTCACCTTGCAGGCAGATAGAATAAGATAGTTGCGTTTGGAATATTGCTGCGTGTAGTCATTCTTTGTGTTTTTTAAAATGCCTCGACGAACATCATATGTGTGGCAGTATTATCAATTGTTAAGTGACGAAAATAATAAAAAACGCGTAGTTTGCATTTATTGCAATACAGAATACAAAAATGCCTTAGCTACGAGACTAAAGTTGCACTTATCAACTTGTTTAAAGTGCCCAGCAGAGGTGAAAAATAAGTTTTACACCGAAAAAACATCGAGCAAACTACCACTACCAAGACCATCACTTTCGAGGACGGATGAATATGTGCCTACAGTTGAGTCACCGTTACCAAGCACAACATCATCATGTGAAATAAATGTTTCGACGTGTATTTCTGTTAACAGGAATGACTCGGAACCGTATAATATACCGAAATATTCATGCTGCATTGGCCCGCACTGTATACGCGTCAGGTGTTGCTTTATCGATATTTGAATCACACTTTTTTTTTCTCCACAGACTCTTGGTCCGGGCCTTTGGCAGTTTGGTCTGTTTTAAAATTGATTGTTATATTGCTCCGCTTTTTTGCGCTCGCTCTTTTGCGCTCGCTCTTTTGCGCTATATTCTTTTAAAAATGATAAAAAATTACAAATGTTACCTTAACAACTTCACTGTCCAATCAGTCACATGTGACTCATTGGACACTTTTGGAATAAGTTCAGGAGTCAGGGGTGACTCATTTTTCGATACTTTTTGGCAAGATTTTTCGTCATGAGCGTAGCTCAATAGACTTATAAAATTACGTGAACGTATAGCAAAAACCCTAAACTTTTATGTACAAAAATTTGCTTTCGCAAAAGGTTTTTATTTCTTTTGTTATGAACAAATAAAAACATGAGTAATTATGGATAATTAGTATGAAATAAAAACAATATAATAATCATAGAAAACGTTTTATTGGGTTTTTTATATAAACTGAAAAATTAAATTATGATGAAAGAAACATTGTCATTAATTAATCACAATGTTTTTCATTGTAACAATCCAAACAAAATGCTTTTTTACAAGCTTTACACTCAGTGTGCACTTGTTTGGCTTTTCGAGCCAACTGATTTGAAAGTTTTAGTTTTGAATAGCAACCAGTGCATCTTTTTCGGACTAATTTATTGGTTATAGCATTACGCGGTATTTCCTGAAGACTATGACTAGACGAAATTGAAGATCTTGAAGGCAGAGAGAGCGAAGGTCTTGGAGGCACGTTAGGTTCTGTAGTTGTTGCTGCTGGTCCCAGAAAATATCTTACTAATTGTTCTTGAACTTGCAAGACTGATAATTTAGGGTTTTCTGTCGCTAATTCATTGTATATGCATCTGGCATTTATAACAGCAACTTGAAACAGTAGATCTATGGCAATTTTTTTGTACCAGGTTAGGCTTTTGCGTAATGGCGAATGAAATGATGCAAGTTGGTCTGAAATGTCTATTCCTTTTTTAGCCTCATTATAATCTATTATAACGTCAGGTTTAGTGACGTCGCCTCTCTTTGTAGACACCTTTGACATACTATCTCCATGACAAGTCGAAATCATAAGTACGTCGCGCTTATCGCGCCATTTCAGAACAGTATACAGATTGTCTTTTTGCATGGCTATTTGCTCTCCTCTTTTTAGGTTTTTCTTAACCACTTCCACTGGAAGATTTCTTTTGTTCTTGCGTAAAGTTCCGCAGAGGTCCGTTTTTCGTTCCTTTAGATATGTTGCCAGAGGAAGGCTGGTATAATAATTATCGGCGACAACAAGACGACCGTCATTCAGGAGCGGTTCAACTAATTGAATCACAGTTGAACCAGGTTTATCAAGTCCTTCTAATTGCTCCGATACCCCGGAATAAATCTGATAAGACCATGTATAGCTACTTACAGTACAAGCTTTGTAGATCTTCATACCATACCGATCGGTCTTGGCGGGATTGTACGTTCTAATAATTAATCTTCCGTGAAACTTTACCATGGACTCATCAACTACTATAACATCGTTAGGTAAATACAGGCTGCGAAAATTGTCTACAATCCTGTGTATTAGAGGATCAATCTTATGGGTTCGTTGTTCTCCAATAACGCCTATCTCAACTTCAGTGAAATGCCAGCATCTAAGAATTGTACTAAATCTATTATATGTCATATTTATTCTATGCATTAGTGGATTATAGTAAAGTATATCCAATTTCCAGTAATGTTCAATCGAGGGCTTGGGATTTAGTCCCATATATATTATTACGCCAAAAAAAAATTTCATCTCCTCTCTGTTTACATCTTTCCACCTTGTCATCCTGCTAAATTGTGAAGTGCGTATTTGTTTCAGTAAATCTGCATAATTATTAGTATGAATCACCATCTCGTCAATCAAGTCATCGGGGACAAAATATTCATAAATTTTGATCAAAGAAACTTGTCCATCGTCTGTAATGGCATCCATATTTTGCACCCCATAATTTCCTGTAAATGTTTCCCTACCTATCGGCAAAACATCCGATTTCCATTCTGAATGAGGAACGTCAGATAAAGATGAACCTCCTGGAGTCGGCGATGGTGATGGTACTGCGCTAGAAGTACTTGCTATGAAGTCCGCAATTACCTCAGTATCCTCGCTCTCTTCATTGTCTTCATTGGGTTGATATTCATCATCACTGCCACAGCTGAAGGGGTCTTCGTCGGAATTTGAAGCTTCCAAATACCGCTCAATTTCTTCCTTTGTATACGTTTTTTTAGACATTTTTAATGATTATATAAAATTTTATGAAATTATAACCTCAATTAGTTATGTCAAAATCTTAAGCAAATGTTTTGTTTTTTTTTTTATTATTATTTTAGTACCGTCCTGTAATCGAAATAAACATTTGTCATTGTTTCTACTGTCTATGGCTATGCGCACATATGACTCATTGAACTTACGAGAAAAAAAACATCACCCCACGCCCATGAGTCGTATATGAGCAAATAAAAAAAAAATAAAAAAAAATGAAAACAGTTTTTTTTTCCACAAATATATTTTTTAATGATTAAGTTACTATTATTTAGCCTAACCGAAGAAAAAAAAACATGGACGTGGAGAAGTCGGAAATTGTATTGTATGGGGACAGTGAAGTTGTTAAGGCTACTATTCTTACTTATCTAGGTGCATTTGGTACTTTGAATGGGAGGATGGTTCAACCTGTCCCATCCCATCCCGCAATAGGCGTTGCTGGGTTGGGGCAGGTTGAGAGGTGGGGGAGGTGAGTGGGTGGGGGGAGGATGGTTGGTAGGGTCTTTCCTGGAGTTAACACTGACGCGCCTCCAGGTTTGGAAGGTGGTGGGTGGAGAGGGAGGGTGGGTTTGGGTGTTAGGGTTGGCTCCGGAGTTAACGCTTGCGCGCCTCCAGGAGCGTTTTAATAATATACAACAGTTTTTATTTGGTTTGACAGGTGCTTATTCTAATACAATTTTTTTTAAATTAAATGGTGCATGCTCTACAGGTTTAACTCTATTATTATTTGTGTTTCTATTTGCTAATTTACATTTTTACTTATTTCTATCATGCTCATCCATTTATGTTATATATATATAGTTGTAGTGCCTAAGGTTTCGCTCCGTCGGTGGTCCATGGCAATAATAGCCTAGTGGTTACTATTGCCTGGACCATCGACGGAACTTTTGGTCTTCCGCCAGACCCAGTGCATTGTTGATGCTAGTTGTAGCTAGCACCGCAAGCAAGGGTACTGGCGGGTTCTTAATCTAGTTTGAACAATTGATTTAAGCAACAGTAAAGCATTTAAAACTAACATTGTAAACAATTTGGCACAAAAGCATTTGTTTTGATTAAAAATAAACAGAAAATTTTCATCAAAAGTTGATAAAGGAATATTTATGGGCTATTCAGAACAATCAAAAGCATATAGAATTTGGATACCATAAATAACAAGGTCATTATAAGCAGAGATGTAAGAGTTATTAATGAAATGTATTACAATGAAAATTCGGATAATAACAGAATATCAAACATTAATAATCAAATCGATAGGGCACAAGTATTTCCTTTTCAGGGTGTTTCTTTTCAGGATGCTAACAATAACAATGATGAAAATTTGGTTGAATTTACTGAAGAGTGTGAAAAAGAATATGAAAACTTACCTGTTACTGAAGAAAACAATGATTTGGTAGAAAATGAATCAGTAAACATGCAAAACTTAGCTGAAGAGACGGACACCAGAACTGATGAGGATGATGATCAACAAGAACCTGTAAGGAAAAGTGTGAGGCAAAAGAAACCACCACAATAGACTTATGACTATGATATGTCAAATCTGTGCAAAGACATAATACCTGACGAATCGTGGAAACCAGCAATTATGTCTGAGATTATAGCACATTTAAAGAATAATACTTGGGATATAGTAAACAAACAAGAAAATTTTAATGTCATTACATGTAAAATGGTACTAAAAGATAAATCAGAAAATAATACAACTAGAAAGAAAGCAAGGTTAGTTGCGAGGGGATTTGATCAATTACCTGGTATCGACTACGTAGAAACATTTTCACCTGTGGTTAAGTTGAGTTCTATAAGAAGCATAATGGCTAAAGCTACAGCTACTACAGCAGTTGTACACAACAAAATTTAAAAATCAGGCAAATGGATGTGACTACAGCATTCCTTAATGGAAATATCAATGAAGAACTTTACATGGAAAAGCCAATTAACTTTGAAAAATATTTATGTGATATCATGCTACAAGAAGAAGATGAGACTTTAGTATTGAAAGCGAGGCAAATGCTCGAAAAGATAAAACATTCAGAAGGTGAAACAGTATGTAAACTGAACAAAACCATTTATGGCCTCATCAAGCAAGCAGGCAGGCAGTGGTTTACAAAATTAGATTTAAAATTAAAAGAAATGAATTTTAAGCCTACTTCAGCAGACCCTTGTATCTACACATGCAAGATAGGAAGAGAAGAAGCTATAATATGTATTTACGTTGACGATATATTATTAATACATAGAGATTTAAAAGTAATAGATAATATAAAACAAGAATTAACTAAAAGCTTTGAAATGAGAGATATTGGTGGATTGAAACAATGTTTATGGATAGAATTTTCATGCAAAAAGGATAGTATATCTATGAATCAAAAGAAATGCATAAATGAAGTACTTAAAAAATATAAAATGGAGGATGCTAAGCTTATTTCAACACCTATGATAACATCATTAAAATTAAATAAGAATGAAGAAATGGAGAACTTACCTTATAAAAATCTTATTGGAGCATTAATCTACTTATCAGTTGCCACCAGACCTGACATCAGCTACGCTGTAAGCTATCTCAGCCAATTTAATAACTGCTTTGGAAAGGATCACTGGATTGCAGCAAAAAGGGTGCTTCGATACTTAAAGGGCACAATAGACTTAGAGCTTACTTTCTCTAAGAAAGAAAACTCTAGATTGGAAGGATTTTCAGATGCAGATTGGGCATC